TGTCTTTTATTGCAGCATAGTGGAATCCTAGCCTACAGAGGAAAAAGGGAGTGTGAACTCCCTTTCTCACAAGGCAATGTGGTGGCACTATTTTGTGTTTTGATTTTTCTCTAAAAAAATTGAAATAAAAAACAAATTCCAGATGGCTGTAATCAGACTGGAGAATCACACTCCACATGCCCAGACCCAAAGTATGTGATTTAAGTAGATTGTGTCTTTTAGAAAGACATCTGTTGATTTAAAGCTTTCCAGTGATGGAGAATTTGTCTCATCCTCCAAGAATCTGCTTCCATTGTTAATCACTTTCCTTGTTTAAAGTGTGCCTCTTATTGACAGTTGGAATGCTGCTGACTTCAGCTTCTAGCTGTTGGGTCTTGCAACACCTCAGTTTAAAATTCACAAGCATTATTTTTCTTGCCATCCCATATCTGGAGTCACCTAAGTGGTCAGACCCCGGAGCTGTCAATAGGGCGATCAATGCTTGCGGTAGCTGGATAGCATACAGCACTGGCTCATGCTATGGTGGGTTCAAGCCCCTTTGTGTCTTGCTTTGAAAACAAGGATAATATCCTGTTGAAATGTAAAGTTAATGGGCTAAGGCTTCACTTCCTCCACTGGTAGGTTTGTCTATTGGAGCAACCTTTTTCAGAAGAGGCCATTTCTTTCCAGGTAGAAGGACTATTTAGTGGTTAAATCATTGGATCAACATGAAGTGGTTCCATTTTACAGCCACACACTCCCACTTTGACTTGGAGAAGTCACCTCATTGCTCCGTGCCTCAGTTTCCCAATCCTAAAATGGGGATAATAACCTGTCCTTTGTATAAATATGTGACTGAGACCCTTTGGGGACATGGACTGATTCTTACTATGTATCTTTGTAGGGCCCGAGGCTTCAATCTCGGTTGGGGACTGTGCAGCACACTGAAGTCTTAATCTCGGTTGGGATCTCTATGCTAATATTGCAATTAAAATGAGCACTAGGGCATGGGACTTTCAGAAGGGACCATGCATTGTGGCTACATCTACACTGGCAGCTTCTTGCGCAAGAACTGTTTTGCGGAAGAGTTCTTGCGCAAAAAGTCTTCCACAAGAGCGTGTCTACACTGGCATGGGCTTTTGCACAAGAGCATCTATGGCAGTCCGCACGCTCTCTTGTGCAAGAAAGCTCTGATGGCCATTTTAGCCACAGGGGCTTCTTGCGCAAAAAATTCATGTTGCCTGTTTACACTGGCCTCTTGTGCAAGAGTTCTTGCACAAGAGAGCTTATTCCTCGTGGGGAGAGGAATAACTCTTCCGGAAGAAGCCCTGTTTTCCGATGCTGTACTGTAAATTTACTTGTGCAAGAACATGCGTGCAGTGTAGACACCCTGCAAGTTTTTGCGCAAGAACAGCTGTTCTTGCACATGAAGCCGCCAGTGTAGACATAGCCTATGGCTGTGTCTACATTGGCATGATCTTGCGCCAAAGCGACCACTTTTGCGCAAAAATATGCTGCCTGTCTACACTGGTGGGGAGTTCTTGCGCAAGAACACTGACGTTCTAATGTGTGAAATCAGTGCTTCTTGCGCAAGAACTATGATGCTCGCACTCAGGAATAAGCCCTCTTGCGTAACTGTTCTTGCACAAGAGGCCAGTGTAGACAGGCAACATGAATTTCTTGCGCAAGAAAGCCTGATGGCTAAAATGGCCATCGGAGCTTTCTTGTGCAAGAGAGTGTCTACACTGGCACAGATGCTCTTGCGCAAAGGCACATGCCAGTGTAGATGCTCTCTTGTGCAAATACTTTAACACAAGAACTCTTGCGTTAAAGAGTATTTGCGTTGTGCCAATGTAGACACAGCCACTATATATGCCTAGTGACCAGAAGTCCTGGCCTATTGAGCAGGGTGCTCACTATTGACACCTGTTGACAAACAAGAAGAGCATCCCAGAGCTGCTTGAGAATGCCAGAAGGCCAGGGATTCCAAAGTGGAGGGAGCTCTCTGCTGACATCTGTGGGAGAGGAAGGGAAAACTATTGAATGGGCAAATCCTCATTTGCATTTCAGTTCTGTGATAGTTTAGAACATTTTGATACGAATCTGGTTAAGTTTTGAGTTTGAGAGTGATGACATTTCCATTTCCCTTTTGGGAAATGAAAAGGGAAAAGCACTGCACCGACTCTGCCTAGTAGGAGGGATCACCCTGACCATCACCACAGTCTAGGACAGTTGGATGAGAGACTGTGGTTGATGCTTAGAAAATGAATATAGGTTTCTGTTTTTTTTCCAAGTTCTTTTTTAGCAGGAAGAATTTTGTGTGATTACAGATTACTCAGTAAGGAACCGAGGTTGAGAAGCTGTTCTAGTAGCTTAGACAGAAGTTCTAGAGAATAGCAGGCATTTGAGGATCTCTGGCATGGATTTCCCTACCTGGTACTAAAGCTGTAATCAACTCAACTCAACTCAGCTGGGCTGGTTGGTAGAGCATGCTAAGCTCTTTGGTGCTGTCCTTCCCTATCTGGCTGGAAATGAACCTGTCTGAAATTGGTCTCCACAAACTCTGGACCACATGCTGTCAGTGGTGAGGAGAGAAGTGGTTAATGCTGAAAGATTTTTTGTGTGTCTTATTTGCCATGATATCTGTGAGAAGGGGATGGAGGTTCAGACTACTGCTAAAATAGCTGGGGTTGGTGGAGTGGTATTAGATATGTGATAGATATAGTTGCTTTATTGCTGGCTTTCTTATGTTTATTCTTTGTCCCCTATTACAGTTCTTTTTGTTTTAAATCCCCACACTCCATGCTTGCTTGCAGGAAATGTCTGTCAAAGGCTCTCAGAGGAATAGCTTTCCCTGAGACAGTGCTCTTGAAGTTTTGAGAGGAAACCCTTACAAATAGAACTAGGACATTTTTGCTGCCAAGAACACCTGGCAGAAGGCATTTAAGTGACTTAAATATCTGCCTGTGTAACATCTCCACGGTCTTACTTTTCACAGATGTCCATGTAACCTACTGGTCAGAGTGTGTTATGTGCCCATCCCACTCTCCCCTGGCTACCCACCGTTCCCACTGACGTGCACAGTGAATTGTAGCTGCATAGCACCTCTGTGAATCAGGCAAAAGAAGTTTCATGTTGGCCACCTAGAAACCCAGTCACCCTTCAATACCCTATTGTGGGGGGTGCTGGATGGTCCCTGACTGAGATTGGGGCCCTGCCAGGTTGGGTGCTTCATTGACCCCCATCAAGGTGTAGACCAGAGGTGGGGAACCCAAAGCCCAGGAGCCAGATGCGGCCCCCAGCTTCCTTCATTGCTCCCTTCCAGCATTGGGGAGCCCACACTGGCACTCCCAGCCACGCGGTGTGAAGGCCTGAGCACACAATTTCTACTAGCCTGGCCCCCCCAGGTGTGTGAGGGGAATGTGGGGAGTTTCTTTCTCCTTCTCAGTCAGGGGCCACATCAGTGAGGGTTTGTTTGGTTATTTTTTGCTTCACACTTTTGTGTGGCCTCTGACTGATTTTTTTGTAGGTCAGCGGCCCCTGACCCAAAAAAGGTTCCCCACCCTTGGTGTAGACCATGTTCTGCCACGTGTTGCACAGACCCCAACAACAATTGGGCCTGTTCTGCCAGGCATGACATAAACCCCAACCGACATCAGCACCCTATTGTGCCAGGTGCTGCACAAATACATAGGCTGTGTCTACACTGGCGCCATCTTGTGCAAAAGCGGCCGCTATTGCACAAAAACTTGCTGCCTGTCTACACTGGCCACGTGTTCTTGCGCAAGTAAACTGACGTTCTAATGTATAAAATCAGGGCTTCTTGTGAGAGACCTCTGACGCTCCCGCTCAGGAATAAGCCCTCTTGCGCAAGAGCTCTTCCAGAAGAGGCCAGTGTAGACAGGCAACATGAATTTCTGGCGCAAGAAAGCCTGATGGTTAAAATGGCCATCAGAGCTTTCTTGCGCAAGAGAGCGTCTACCCTGGCATGGACGCTCTTGCGCAAAAGCACATGCCAGTGTACGTGCTCTTGTCTGGAAGAGTTTTTGCAGAACTCTTCCGCAAAAGAATTTTTGCGTGAGCACTCGCCAGTGTAGAAGTAGCCATGTCTGACAGTCTGCCCCAAAGAGCCCACAACTGAAATAGCCAAAGGGTGGGTGTGGAAAGAGGCACTGTGCAGGGACTTGCCCACGGTTACACAGCAAGTCAGTGGCAAAGCTGGAAATTGAACCCAGGTGTCCTGTGTTGCACATTAGTGCCCGAGCACTTTGTCAATGCAACTTATTTATTTAGAAAAGACAAAGTCACTTACAAATTCTGCAGGGCACATGCTATGTCTGTTAGTATTGAAAAGATCTGGAGAGCAAAATGACTCATTCTTTTGCAAATCACACCATGTTTTAAATTCTGCTAGCAGCATCTGATAATGCTTAGCACAGGGAGGATGTCTGGAGAGCAAAGCAACCCAGCACAGCTATGTTTTCTTCCTAGTACAAATACCGCCACCCCCTACTTCATGCACATAGTTTCAGAGAGAGCCTCTGTTCTGAAGAGATTACTAGCTACATGCTCAATGCAGGACTGTACATGTGGGGAAACTGAGATAATATGTAGCTTTTGTACTCTGCTTTTCATGCACACATCGCGAAGCCCTTCACAATTTTACATTTTACAGACAGGGAAACTGAGGCAGTGGGTGGTGATGTGGTTTCCCCAGCAGGTCAGTGGCTGAGCTGGGAATAGAATGCCCGCTTCCTTCAGAAGGTACGGAACTATACAATGAGAGCATCCAGATGAACATAGGTTACAAGGTAACATGGAGAAGGCCCACTTCTCTATCCACTAGGGCATACTGTCTCCAAGGTCACAGAGGGAGTCTGTGACAGAGCTGGGAAATAAATAGAGCTCTCCAATGATCCAGTTGGGCTTATGGATAAGGTGCTAGGCTAATCCTTTTTTACACTAATAAAACCCCACTAGTACCTAATATATGCCAAGAAAGAGGGTAACAGCTACTGTACCTGAGTGAGTTCCATATGGAGAATAATTTGCATTGCCCTTCTCCAAAGACTAGCATAAGTTTACAGCCCTTCTGTGCTCCATCCCAGGTGGGTTTGCTTCTCTCTTGCTTCTAATCCAATATTTGCCCACGAAGGAGGCAAGCAGGTAAAAATGCAAAAGAAGTTTTCCGGCAGCTTATGTTATTGTCCCCGCACGTCTCGTCTTTCTGTTGAACCTTGTGTAAATATCACGTCACATGTCAAACAAACCCTCCCACTAACTTGATGGCATGTGAGCCCTTATTTAAAAAAGGGGCGGCAGGAGCTGCTCCTAGAGCGGCAGCTTGCAGCAGTGATGATGTGGGGTTTGGGGCTGTTGCTCTAGAGGCATCAGAATTGCCAAACTAGGTCAGACCTGCATGCCCGTCTGGCCTCTGACATCTCCCGTTGCATTATGGCCACAAGCAGGAAGATTTACAGCCTTACTTATCTCTACGCCTGTCACTCAAATGACAACACTTTGCACTGGCCGTCTTGAGAGTCTAGGGTTCAATTGCAGCTGCTCACGTATGGAGCCTTATTGCGGTCTGTGAGCAATAACAATAACAGTAGTTAGGGTGCTCACTTAGGACTTTGGAGACCAGGATTCAATTTCCTTCTCGGACCTTGGTATCTTGGGCAAGTTGTTGTTTGAAGTCAATGGGAACTATCTGCCTAAATAGCTGGATCTTAGACTTCCCATGCCTCAGTTTCCCCACTGGTAAAAAAGAGAAGTGCTATGTTGTAAAGTGTGCCCAGATTGCAAAGTGCTTGAATGTTGTTATAATGGATGACATGTAGGTATTTCACAGAGATAAGGCCCCCAGTGGAATTTGACTCCCTTTGTTCTGTGCCCATGGTCTGGCTCTGCTACCACATTTGAACCGGAAATCCAAACCTCAGGCTGTTTTAAGACCTGCTCATAGATTGGAATGGACCATTCTCACCATCCTGGTGTCTGATTCGGTGTGTAACCTAAGCCAGCAGTGTTTGGTGCCAAGGGGAGGGGGAAGCCTGGGGAGAGCATATGCAGAGGGCCCTACAGTCTGAGCTGCAAAAGCTTCACTATACCCTACATTTCTCGCTCTATTACTCTCCCCTGCTTGTGCTCCCTATAACCTATGTTCTGCCGGACCAGAACTCCCCTTGTGCCAGCCAGGTGTACTACAGCTCCCCCAGTGGGAACAGATGGTACTGCATCGTGCTGTACAATGCTCATGTGACATTAAAGCTGATTGGACCTTTTTGCTTCCAGAAACCAGAAGGGCTACATTTAAATGCCTACGATATCTGTATATTGACATATTGCTGAGGGTCCTTAGTTTTCCCAGGTGCTGATGTAACCCACAGGTCAGCAGCGTGTGGTATGTGCCTCCCCTTCCCGCCAGCTTGGGCAGTGAATTGTAACTGCCCAGCGCCTCTGCTGATCACACAAAAGGCATCTCATGTCGGGCACCCAGAAACCTAATCCTCATTAGAGGACTCAGTTGTGTGGATGCTGCACAGATCCAGGCTGAGACTGGGGTTCTTGTGGTTGCTGCGCAAACACACAGCACCCAGCAGCTCCTGCAGTGACACTTCCAGTGCCCTGGGTTTCCAAACAGCTCAGAGCTCCCACTGACTCAGGTGCACAGATGGGAGTGAAGTTCCTGGGAAAACCTGTTGCTGATTGTGGGTGTGGTGCCCTTGAGAAAATGCCAGCCAGCGTCTCTGGCAGTACAGACCTGGAGCAGAGAACAGTCAGAGTGTGGGGGTTGCTCGGCAGTACAGACCTGGGGGAGCAGAGAACAGTCAGAGTGTGGGGGTTGCTGGCCATGCCCCTGCTCTGTCCCCCTATGCAGTGGGCTGTGAGTCCCAGAATCCTAACCCCAAGGAGGATTTGAAGCTACCAGGGTGCCATAAAGGGGCCATGGTGCAATTGAGGATTGCGGCCACAGATCCATGGCAGAGCTTTGGGATTTTGAGCTTCTCTGCGCCTAATGCCAACCTCTCCGTCTTTGCGCTGGTCAGGAGAGTTCACTTATTAGGGTTCTGTTCTTTGGCAGGAAATATTTATATTAGCTTTGATAAATGGAAGTGCTGGAGTCTGGTTGTCATCAGTGAGGCTGATTGGGGCTGAAATGGGCTCTGTGCAGCACACACACAATTAAAGGCATCACCAGCTAAAAGGGTCAGGAGAAGGTTGCATGCATTTGTCTTAGCAGCTGGCATAGGCAAAGCCAAGTGAGAATGGGCCCCATCCTGCCCCCAAGGTTTAGCCTAGGACTCGATCCGGCAGACATCTGTCGTAGGTTCCCTATCGTTTCAGCAACTGAGCTGTTCACAATGTATTGTGTACACTGGTCAGGCCCGCCTAGTACTAGGTGCTGGACAGACACAAAGCTACCTTTAACATACTCGTGCTCACAACAGCCACTTGAGGCAGAGCAGTGCTGCTAGTCCTATGACACGTGGGGAAACAGAGGCACAGAGCAAGTGATACTCAAAGGCCTTTGGACCCCGTTGATTTCAATCCCGTTCATTACACGAGCTGCCCAAGATCGCACATGGAATCTGTGGCAGCTCAGGTAATTGAACCTGGCCTTCCAAGTGGCTTGTGACTTAGCCTCTGCACCATCCTTCATCACTTGCATGTGAATCCAGGCTACATCTAGACTGCAAGCCTCTTTGGAAAGAGGCTTTTTCGAAAAAGAGCGTCTAGACTGCAACCAATACTTTTGAAAAAGCAAGCCACTTTTTTGAAAGAGCGCGCCCAGAGTCTGGATGCTCTCTTTCGAAAAAGCACAGTTTGCATTACATAGCGCCTTTTTTCAAAAGAGCACGTCCAAAAAAAGGCATTCTTCCTCATAAAACGAGGTTTTCTGTGGTTGAAAAAACTGCTGCATTCTTTCAATTTATTTTCTAAAGAACGCAACAGCATTCTAGATGCAGGGGAAGTGTTTTCGAAAAAGGACACTTTTTTGAAAAACCCTATAGTCTAGACACACTTCTGTGCTGAAAACGAAGCTTATCTGGGGCCATGGATTTTGCCTGCAACCTCTGCGTCTTACTCTCTGGGATAAATCTTTATGTCTTACTCCAGGTACAGGGCGGAGTAGGCTGAATGATAATACTTTGCACCCAGAATTTGCATGGGTGAGAAAGGAAGGAGAAAGCCATAATCTCCAGCCCTTTGTTTGTAGCTCTCAAAGCATATCATGAAATAGAGACACAAAGAGGGGGTAGGAATATCCCTGACCCCACAAATTGACACAGCCAGTCAATGAAAGAAGTGGGAAGAGCTCTCCGGACTCCCACTTTTGTGCTCAAAGGGTCAGACTGCATTCCCCTGCAAGAGCTAGGGATAGAACCAAGAAGTTTTGACTCCCACACCTCTTCCAGCCATCCTGACTTTTAGTTTGCTGCTCTGGTTACTGAACTATTCTCTCTCCTCCCAGAGGTGATGATGATAGAACCCCTGGGGGTGCCAGCTCCCACCTGCTCAAACCACTAGACCCTACTCCCTTAGTCTTGCTTTACAGTTTTTTCCCATTGTACTAACCACTACTTCTGTGCGTCCAGAACAGAACCCTGGAGTTGTGACCCCCCATCCTGGTGAGGCAAGCTACTAGACTTCAGCTCCCCCAGACAGACATGCGCTGGGGACAGTATACTCAGTCACCCCTCAGTCTGTCCCTAGTCCTCTGCAGAATGAGGTTGGGGGGTGACTGGTGCAACCCAGGAGTGGGCCAGTCCAACAACCCACCACCCAGAGTTGCTGGCATTGCTAGTCTGAAGTCTGTGTGCAGCATGGAGTGGAGCTGCGCTGTCGCATGGCATGACCACGCTGCTGGAGAGTAGTGACTGATTGGGAATGACCATAAACTAACACATCTGAAAGCCCTAAGTCCTCAGGTTGGCGTGGGCTGCCCCTGCACAGCTAGAAGTCCTACAGCTTTCCCTGTGTAGGGGACTTTGTTTAACCCTGTTGCAAACCACAGGCCACTCAGGAAATCTTCTCTCTGCTGCAAGTTGTTATGAGTGCTCTGTCACTGAACGCCTGAGGCGCCTGTTATGTATGTAAACTAAATATGCAGCTTAGTTCCTGGAATCAGTACAGCTCGGTTGTTGTACGCTACAAAAGGCTCCTTTGGTGCTGCTCTTCAAATGAAGCTATTAATATAGATCAATAAATGCCAGAGTGGACTAGGCGGGGTGAGATTTCTTCACCTAAACTTTTAGGGTAAAAAAAATGCAGATTCAGTGACACGGTTACATTGTGTGAAATTTAGGTCAATTTCACTGAATTGTGCTGGTAAACAAACAAAACAAACCCCAGAAAAACTGAACGGAATTGTTTTGTTGTTTTTGAACTAAAACACTTATTTCATTTGACCTGAAACTTATTTTTTTCTTTTAGATTTGCCCAACTTAAAAAAAAATATCTTGGTTCAACCAAAATAATTCTTTTCTGTTTTTGTTTTAATTTTTTTGAATGGCTAGTAAATAAAAAAATCCATTATTTGCCCAGCTCCTGTCTACACTAAAATTAGCTCTTCCAGCTCTATGATTCTATGATCAGATGTGTTGAAGACATGCTCTCTATTTGCCTCCTTCTGCAGTGTTGCCCCTGCAAAAGTTCCATTGTGGGATCAATCAGAAACAGGACCACACTTTTGCAAATCAATCCCCACCAGCTGCCTGCCCCAAGGGCTCTTGGAACTTCTGAGATGTTAGAAAGTCCTTTCCTTTCTTGAGACACCGACTGTTTCATTTCCTGAGACCTCAGAAGCCTCTGATGTGGCTTTGAGGACCAGGCCCGCCTCCTTTTTGTAGCTGTGTTGATATAACATCAGGGTTCTATTTAACTTTTGTGTGGTCGCTCTGTGCGCATGCTTTAGTCCTTGGGCAAAGAATTTAATGGATGAGCCAGAGGGGGTGGTTATTGTTGGGGAGGAATGGAAAGAGCTTGCATCACTGATGAAGGACTCTGAAATGAAATCTGGACATATTTTGAGGCAGAGATCAAAGTAAGGTGGTATCAGCTAGAGTGGGATATGGAATAACTTTCTGCAGAGCTAGTTTTGCCTAAGGAAGTCCAGGAGGTCTAATGGCAAAAACACTGCATTGTAGCTAGAGGACTTGGGTTGTATTCCTCCATCAGTCTGTCAAATTACAATGCCATGTTCTTCTCTTGCCTGAAATCTGTCTCACCTCT